ATCAATCAATCACAAACCCATAAAAACACAAACAAAACAAAACCAAACACAGCAGAGTAAAAAAGAAGAACAAACCCAGTAATAAACAACAAAAATAACAATAATAATCATACGAAATTATTACCAGAAAGCAGTATAACTGTAGAACTCAACACCCAGACACATGAAGAGCAACGAAGCAACTGCAAAGATGGCTTGTCCTAATCTCAGAGCCAAGCTCGCACTTGTCCCCAACGCCCCCGGCAATTCTTCCATCTCACGCGCCGCTCATAGAGCCTCTCTTTCTACCTTAATTTCCCCTAATTTCTTACACACGAACTGATCGCCGCACGTAGGACCCTTCGTATCCATTTAATCCATTAAAACGGACTGAGAAATACATATAATCGAGGCAATTTTTTTGTCTTGTTTTGGTTTTATTTATTCGGAGGCTCTAAGGTTTTTAATGGAGGAAAGCGTAACGGTGGAAGCTGGGAACAAAGGAAAAGTGAGATATAGAGATGAGAGTTTTTTGCTTTTTAATTAAATGATGGCAATTTTTGTATTTGTGAAATAATAATAATAATAATATATAGAGAGAGTATTTTTTGGTGCAGTAATTAAAAAGTAGTCAGAGGTAATTATCCCAAATCTTTGACTAATTACTCTCTAATCCACATTTCTGTAATTGGGTACAAGCATAATTGCATAGCATGTGGCATGCTTGTGTGGAGGCTAGTTATTGTTGGAAATCCAATTTATTGGGTGTTGTTATGTATTTATATATAACACATATATATATATATATCATAATTTTATCTATATATATTTTCTATGGGAGATGCTATGGTCTAGTTATGGAACTATTTCGTCGAGGTTTGTAACCGTTAGATTAACAATCTCTAACGGTTACATGATGATCTAACGGTTACAAACCCCGACGGAATGGTTCCGTAACGGGACCTTAGCATTTTCCTTTTTTTAATATGATGTTTTTAATAAAAATATGCGGATGTAGATTAGACCAGCCTAACATAAAAGTGGAAAATGCTACGTGTCCTGTTACGGAACTATTTTGTCGGGATTTGTAACCGTTAGATTAACTATCTCAATAATTACATGGTAATCTAACAGTTAAAAACTTCGACGGAATGGTTAACGGTACCGTAGCATCTCCCATAAAAGTTAGCGTTTTTCAATTATTCTAGTCACTAGTTTGATGTGGTGAATATATCTTCCATATTTTTTCAATGAAAAAAACATAATTTTTTTTATGAGATATTTAAGTTAAATATATTATTTCTCAAAGGATGATATTTCTAATTATTTTCTAAAAAGTATGTTGGTTACATTTGACTAATGACATGCTAACTAACATATTTTGATTTATATTAATATGTTGAAGATGAACTCAATGTTGACTATTTCCATGAATTATAGTCTATATTGTAACAATTTGTCCTTTTACCTTTCTTTCTTTTTTTTTTCCAATATATAATAATAATATATAAGGTCACATTGCACCGGTCTTGCTAGGTCCTATTATACAGTAATCGGAAGATTAATCCTTGCAAATATTTTGGTAGTTAAAAATTAAAATTCTTTAATCAAATATATAGACAACTACCACAACAAGGATTGTGATTAGGGCTGCAACTAGCCGAGCATGATTGATTTTTTTTTTTAGCTGCTCGAGCTCGATTTTTTTAGGCTCGAGTTCGACTCGATAAAAAAGTTACAACGAGCTCGAGCTCGACTCGAAATCAAAATGCTCGAGTTTGGCTCGAATATTTTTAAGTGAAAAGGTAAAATTACCATTAAAGACTTATGCTAACATATATATAAGGGGTATTTTAAGAATTTAACATGTATCTCGAGCCGCTTGACAAGACAAAATATGAGCTCGACTCGAGTTCGTTCTCGAGCCGCTCGCGAGCTCGCTTTGACTCGAGCACTCGCGAGCCGCTCAGTTCGTTTGCCGTCCTAATTGTGATAACAATTAAATGACTTAACATTAAAGAATTGTCTATTGACTTGTTTTATGTGAAAGATTTGTGTATTCCCATTACGTTTTGTGTCAAAACTCAAATATTCTTTTTTGACTTTTTGGTTGGTGCGAATTTGCCCTTTGACGTTTTTGGTTCCCTTGTTTTGAAAAAT